ATATCTGCACTACGGAAAACTCTCCTGAGTTCTCTGCGACGATAGGAGTACGCCAGGCCTGCCCCATTTCACTATATCCCCATTTATGCGCTCGAAAATACAATGACCAACTTAGCTGTTCTGTAATAGAAGTCTTGCGAAGTAATTGACTGGACCTCACTACATCCACTCGTCATATGTACGGTTTGCGTCCTCCTTAGATCGATCCGCGGTCCATCGTTAGAATCAAAACTGCGCAAACAACTGACGCTAGTTCAGACTCCAGCGGAGCCTGTTCACTTTAAACACGACAGACGACCCCATGCTCTCTCTCCGTCTCCCCTCACAATAGTGTTTCGTACTCGTGGCCCAAACCAACAGACTAGGGTACTGATCGATAAATCCAATAGGTTGCACAGACTTCGTTGGTTTTTCCGATGTATACTTTACTGCCATTAGCCTTTTGCAATTCCAGTGCAATCCTACAATCGCAAATGTCTGACGAGCTTTATGGAAAAGATTATTCTTCACAACTTTGCCAAATTCCGTATACTCCAACAGTATGCTTTTCCACTGCGTGAGACAGGAACAACTTAACCCGAGAGCTCATGGTGTGATTTAGGCTCGCTTTCAAGCTAATGACAATTATTGCAGATGAGTGTTTCCGGGTTGCGCATCTGATTGATTGCAGTATACTTTTTATAGATGGAAGTCCGTAGAATTCTATCGAAATAGGATCAAGAACGTTTACAAGAGATTTCCATCACTCGTTACTACCCAACCATTCTCTAGGTTCTTATGTAACATTATAACATTTTGACTCTCAGTAACACAGTGAACACCCGAATGGGCGGCTCACTAGGCTATCCAGACTTCGCATGAGATCAAAAAGATTCCGATTACACTGTGGACTTCCCTAGTATGGTTGCGACGTACTTCCAGCCAATGTAATTGTGCAAAGTTAACCACGCGTGTTGTAGCAAGGATGCGTCGGCGTGGTAAGGAAAAACAATATGTCCTACTGCCACACAGAAGAACCGAAAGTAAAAAACCCCGATTGATGACGCCTTAGTTAACGCGCTTCGCGTCGTTCCCGCGGTTATGACACTTAGCTATGACGGGTAATGCTGATTTTCAGCAAAGCAAATATTCCTATTTGCGTGATCAAATCAAGATTAATTGAGTGTTGAGTCTTGAATTCTTTTCGTGTCAACTCTTAACGGACCTAAAACTTTACATGGTAGCTTACGTGTTATTAGCGTCAAATCAGACTGAAAATTGATTTCCGGGTTGTTCGAACACTCAATCGATAGCTCAAGCTTAGGCTATGGATGCTAAGCAAAGCAAAAATGTTACAACAGACAACAATCAAATGGTCCGTTGGCCAAGGAATTGGTAACGGACGTATGTAACGCTTTTGCACACAGTTCGGGCTTTAGACGGCGGAGGTAAATAGCCTCAGGAGCTGCTTGCGTGGAACATTCGTGTAGTAAGTATATGAACTTAAAGTCATCCGCACAGTCTGTGTGGCTGAAATCAAGTAGGTGTGACATACTAGAGCTGTTTGTAGAACCATGCGGGAATATGCTCGCGTCACCTGTGAGATAGGCGCCTCGCCACATATCGTGCACAACAGGAGCACGCGTACCGATAAATGAGCATTGAACGGATCAACGAGAGTAACTCAACCTTCAAGCATTTTGCAAGCAAACGGCATGTTATCGTAAACAATTCTCAATCGGGCTTGCCTGCTAAGTTGAGAAGGCTCTTTGAAATTAGATGGTGTTGATTAAGTTGAAAATGGGTGTAGAGACGAAGAGATTACTTAGCACGCCAATAACCAGGTGCTATAATTGCGGTTAATGGGGCGTTGAGCCTTCAGAACAAAGAATTTCACCGCATCGGACAGCGCATGGTAACCAGATAAGTCACACGAAACAAGCAAGACAGCCGACAATATAGGTTAAGGTAAGAGTGTGTGTCAGACAGGCCGCGGCCTGATGCATATGAACCACAGTAGACCATTGGGTGAGAGTGAAGTTCACGGTCAGTTGTGTGGGACGACATTGTACTTTTGAGGCGCCGGATCGCCCGGATCAGAGAGCAGAAGGAAAAATCCTTTGTCAGCTCCATCGCACCCCGTTCGTCAAAGAGATCAAGGTGGACATTGCAAGTCGGTACCAATGGAACCGCTGCATTGACACAAAAAGCAACAAGATCCGAGTTTACTCAACAGATAAGAATCCAATCGATGTTTGAAACATTTCTCCGACTGCGCATCAACGACATACACAGGTAGATTGTTCTACTCGTTCACTACTCTGGTAGACAGATTGACGTCATAACGGACCCGAAGTCTCCTTTGTTCCAATGGTGACCCCGAGTCGAACTGAAAGAATGGAGTGGAAAGAAATTCTGCAGTTCAGCTCCAAGTTCACCTCTAACGATACGTCGTGTGAAAATCAAATCCTCGCGGTCTCGACAATAGGCTATGGAGAACAAGTTCAGGCGCTGAAGAGGATGTGAGTAACGCAGGTTTCGTAACTCCAGTATGGATTTAGATCTTCTCCGCTGAACCTTTTCAATCAAACTGCGTTCAAATTTGGAAAGAGGATAAACAGCAGGCAGTCCATACTCAAGAATCGGACGTACATGAAAAGTGAACACGAGCGTGAAGATCTCCAGAGTCAAGCGGAAGAAGAATCGTCGTATGGCGAAAAACAACCTGTTGGCAGAAGCGACTTTCCTCAAGGTATCTTCAGTCGATTTTAGGTCTGGGGTCACAACGACGCCAAGGTCCCTCTCCAGATTAGAGTTTGGCAGCAAAAATCCACCGATATGATAAATTCCAAATGGTTCGGAGGCACGAATCGGAAGAACGGAACATTTATCGTGATTTATGGGTAATTGATACCTGATCGACCAATCATGCAGCGAATCGATCCTTATTTATAGTACATCAGCTTCATCCACACAGGAGATTTCCATCCATAGCTTTAAATCATCTGCGTAAATCAAACAATCTGCAAGTAGTACAGACGCCAGGTTACTAATAAAGACTTAAAAAGTTAAGGGCTAAGAACAGAGCCTTGCGGAACACCGTTGGTCATATTTACAAGGAAGGAAAGGGACTCATTTACTTGCACACGGAAAGCGCGGTCATGCAGGAAATCAGTGAGCCAAGAGAGGATTTTTCCTGAAAAACTAATACTGCGAAGTTTGCTAAGCAAAACTTCGTGTGGAACTTTGTCAAAAGCTTTACTGAAATCCACAAATACGACATACAGACGCTTATCAGCATCCACGGATTTAGCCCACTTTTCTCGAGCTACCAGAAGATTGGTGACACATGAACGCGAACGACGGAACCCATGCTGCGCAGCTGAAATGACCTTGAGGTTCTGGAAATGCAGGTTGAGAGGTCGCTTGAGGATCCTCTCCATAACCTTGCAGACAACAGATGTTAGACAAACGGGCCGATAATTTGTAGGATCTTGTCGATTTCCTCCTTTGTATACGGGCTTGACTATGCCCACTATCCAGACAAGCGGAAGAGGCCCGGCCTCAAGTAAGCGTCGAAATACGTGACAGCAACAGCAATATATTTGGCCACAATCTTGAGGAAAAGAGGATGCAACCCATCTGGTCCCGAGGAAGAGTTTGGATCCGGCTCGCACAAACGTTGGGATACCATACAAACATTTATGTCTACATCATTGAGAACAGAGAGTAAGGACGAATAACAATCAACTGACGGCACCTCTGTTGAACAGACCGACGAATAATGCCAAGCTAATAGATTAGCTTTATCAGCATCGTCGTGGAGCACGGTGTTAAGAGCGTGGTATTGCACTTCCGGCTCTGGTGCTCCTTTTCTAGTAGGAGAAAAGCAGATTCGGTATGGACTTGGAATGCTCAGCCAGATGACCTTCGTATTGCTGCCGTTCCGTACGTTTTTTCGATGTACATACGTTCCGAACCAATTTATAATGGCTATAATCAATTTCAAATCTCGAAAGCCTATAGCGATCCAAAAGTTTGTGTCTTTGGTTCATGAGCGATCGTAATTCTTGGTTAATCCAGAGAGGACCTCTAGTAAAGGGTATTAGTTTGGAAATGGGATCATCAATATGGGACAACTTTTTCGAGCAAACAAGGCTCCAAGCATCATCGACATCTAATTACTGGGGAAGACTCGCTAGCGGTCATCTTCAAGCGGTTTAGATCAGCACGCCAAAAATTCCGACGATAGACACAGTGGTTGTGAATGCGACTAAATCCCACCTTGTTTGTGCATACACAGTGCGAATATCTGATAGTGGTAAGAAAAATTAACGTGTGTTGCAACATGATCCAAAGGGAAAAGATGGACAAACAGAACCAAAGTCCAAAAAAATCAAAAGTGATTAACAATCACAATGGCTGTTGGTGAGTATGACCCCCTGGCGTTGTACTTGGAATCAGAAGACTAAGGACTTGACTTTAAGTAGCCGATGATCGTAAGTGACAGATAAAAAAATGAAGGACATACGTGACTGTGAAAAGTAATGCTAGCAGCCAGTAACATTTCAAATGCGATTCTGGTAAAAAGAGAACAGAGGGTCCTTCCTTCAAAGCCAAGTACCTTTAGGAATGAATGAGATTAACCTTCGAAAACAAATCACGAAAAGGCCCCTATAGTGGTCCAACGAATGAACTTCCAACCACTGTCACAAATGTTACTACTACTGGAGCCAGGTAGTAAATTAGTGAAGACGTTGAACACGCAACCACGAGACTTCTGGATTGATTGCCCTCCCGCAGTCATCTGTAACACAGAGCCGAACAGAGGATGGAGTATGGGGAAAGTAAGACCACGCAGTTCATTACAAACAAGGCAGGCAGGGGCCAATTCAAACTAAATACTATCACAGGGTTTTTTAACCAAGAGTTACCAGGGGATATGAGATATACTAGTTGGCCTGAAACCAAACAACCAAGCGCAATCGTGAGTGTGTAATGGTAAAAGGTCGTCAAGCTGCCTAAGGCTGTTGTAAAAATACCGATGAGGGAGTAAGTAAGTGGCGGGTCGCAAGTGAAATAGGTGTGCTCGTAAAGAAGATAATGAAACGGAAAAAGTTGCACAGAGACGTAGCGGCAGCTAGATTAAAAGCTGCCGAAAAAGAGGAACATACAGAAGTTGCATCGCACTGAATGACATGTCGAGTTTAAAGGAACGACTGGAAGAAATATTTAGAAAAGGAAACCTACGCACTTACCTTTCCCAGTTGATTCAGTCAGAGTGTCTGCAACAAGCACCACTCCCTTTGGCCGGGGCCGCAATGCAGGCAAAGAATCTGACCGTAGGTTCTTTAGCATACAGGGGCGCAAAAAGTTCGGATTGATTCGAACACCAGCTTGTAACCAATCGAAGAAGCAACTCAGCTGATGGAAGAGGGCGCTCTCTAGTTTCGCAAGTGAGCAATGCACTTTATCACGCTTGCTTTGGGAAAGCCGTAAAGATGAGGGTTCATCAGCGGTAGAAAATCCGATGGAGGGCGCAGAATGCTGAGGCAGAAACAATCGGAAGAGAAAGAGAAACGACGGTGTGTAGGGAAAAGAAATAGGTCCGATGGCACTAGGAGAATAAGAACAGGAGCTTCCTAAAAATGGTAGGTTAGTAGATAGGACAAAGAATGAAGTGAGGCAAACCGTTTAGAGTTGTTGTGAAATTCCGATCCGAGCGCGAGTGGAAAAAAAAGGAGAAAGAAATCAAAAAACTGTTGTATGCAAATGGAATAGTCACTCCAAATTAATTATACTGGGTGATATAGTCCAGCAATTCATCGTAGTTCAGCAAACGAACTCTGATCCGGGATCAAGTAAGCTTGAAACGAACCATCGGGTCAACAATGTGATGACAACCGATCACCTAGGTAAAGGCGGGTGACGTGGCCTAAACAGATCAAAGTCGCATCAATCCCCATCGATGTGAGTTAATCACAATCGTAAGAGCATGAGAGACGAGGTAGAAATAATCTAATTTCCAATGACAGAATGGACTGATGATACGGGATGCATGGTGGCTGGTCCGTCATGAAACTAGTGCAAAGAAGCGAAGAAAGCGTTATTCACCAGAGCAGACTCCGATCACACGGACTAAACAGATAGCGATCGGCGCGACAATGTATGAACCAAGGTCAACGTGGCTGGACCGAGCACACAATGATAGAACAAACCGCGTTGGTCTACGAACATAGATAGATGACTCATGACACGAAAATGAGAAACAACCAGTGGAAAGTTGTCTCAATCGAACAGCGTTTCAAACCGTGCACAGTATACAGGAATCCACGCATCATAAACAAATAATTTTGATCGCTTCCCAGACTTTGTTTTGTCTCTCGCAGGACAAATAATAGTTAACGCTAGTGACGAAAATGAAGTAGGGCGAAAGAAAACGAAGGGGTTAAAAAGCGAGTAGGATGAATAATCTTAAAAAGTCACCGACTCATGGAAAAGAGAGAATGTAAGGACTTAGAGGCCTCAGCGGCTGAGCCATGTACTATAAGGTCCACAACAACACTAGAGGTTCATTTTCAGACGTCGTCCTCGAAGATGATAGTTAGTATCTGGCAGACCGAGTCCCTGAAGCGGTCGACTCGTGAGTTCCCTATCACGTCACCGGCTGTTTATTCCGCTGCGAGGACAGTGTATGTGATTTAGGTGATCAACGGTATCATGAAGTGCGCTTCCCGGTCAAAGTAAGCGATCGAACTTAACCAGACACCAATACGACGCCAGATAGTGTCCCCGAACCCCAATTGATCACCCGGTGCTGTCCCCAGATGTGAGTAGTACTCCAACAGCAGAAATCAAAGACGACCGGTTGCTTAGTGCTTTCAGTCCACCGAGGATTTGTTGTATATCCAGAGGGTAACTCTGATCGCTGCACACTGCCGTTGGAGGGTAAGCCAAAATTCCACTGCCTTTATAAGAAAGACTCTGAGAAATGATTTCAGAAGATTTCAATGCAAATCGGTTTTGGTAGGGTTTTATTGTGACAACGTTTCACCCTTGACACAAGAGCTTCTTCAGGCAACTCAGGCGATTCTGAGAGACGTATACGAAACCAGAGATGACACAAAGAGGAGTGCGCGTGATAAAGGTTAGGCGTTGCACCATATAGTGTACCATTGACTGGCAGTGACATATCATGTCTCCGCCGGAGAAGAGGCACGCTTGGTTAATCCAAGTTGATTTAGCATGGAACACAAGAGAGTGGTACAACGGTGGTCAGAGAACGCCTCCGGTGGAACACGGACGAGGACTATTCGTTCTCCTCGCATATATCGTCATGATTCTAGATACTAATCTAGGTTCAGACCAGCAACCGCATATTGAACCTTTAAGGTGCCAAGGGCAGGCTGAAGAGTGAGATATTCTGTCTTTCTGCTCGGATAAGTTTGTCCAGAAGATGGGTTTGACTCAGGGAGAGCAAGATTAACTGTATCCTAAGCATGGTAGCAGAGTAATAAAGAAGAGGCTTGCGTAATGGAGTTTTTGTGAGCAATTGTATAACAATGCAGATGGGTATAGACGGCTACAGAACAAAGCTGATGGATCTCGCCTGGAATGGCAAACTCGGAAGATAGTTTCTCGAAGACCCTTCTACGACCTCGCGATAAATCACGATAGAGTATTCAGAACACAAAGAAGTTTCTGTGGTATACCCAATGAGGGCAGGCGGTATCACAACGCAGCACGGCGCATTAACTAAAAGACGGCTTTCAAAATAGGGTCACGCGTATGCCCTATCAAAAAGTATTAACACCACTTGTCCATGAGCCGCTCCGTCCTCGCGTGCAGTACCATTTGATAGGGATAATCGGGCCCCGGTGCCTTGTTCAGTTCAAGAGAAGGTTGAGAACATCCAGTTGGACTGTGCTTCGAACAGTCAAAGAATATACCCTTCATTTATTTCACATCGAACCTCTTCAGAAGAACACGTGGACAGTTATTACCAGCAGCATAGAAATGCCCCAGCAGCACACCGGTTCACTGCCGTATGACCACAACCAGTTGAGAGTGGGCTACGAATACAGAGAGGACGCCCACGGTCCCGCAGATTAGAACCAGTGCGCTTTGGATTACAAGGCGGAAACCTTGTATCCTCATATTATTCATGGAATTTACTACGTTACTGACCCATGATACATACTTGGAGTTAGATCAATAGGTACGAATGGAAAACTTTTCCGTCAATTGAACAGCGACGGTCCCTAACTGAAGCGAATCAAGCAATGCTCACTGCAGATTTGCCAGTATCGAGTTTGGAAAAAGTAAAGGAAAGCGACGGAAAGAAACGGCGAGCTGAGAGTGTTGTAGGGAACCGCCTGCCGGTTGCTCTCTCTCTGGATTAGAAACACGATGCAACGGAGGGGAGGGTGCAACGAGTTGTTGCCAGTTAGCCGTCAGGTACAAATGATACCTGGCAGACTGTTGGATTGTGGCGAAGAAATTATCTTAGTGTGATGTAATGATTGGCAATCTAAGCGGACGAAATGAGTACAAAGCCGGTCAACGGTAAGCTAGTCACGCACTGCTGTGTGTGTGTGGATGTGTGCATTTCAAAGTTGAATTCGGGGTGAGCAGATGGGTTGACTGGGTGTTGTAAATGGTCCAGCGTAATAAGGTCGCAGCGAAACTGTGTTTCATAAAATGACAGATCTGAATTGGCCCAAACATTGACAAATAAAGAGAAACTCGGGTCAACAGCAACGACAAGCGAATGAAAGTGTGAAGCCATGACAAACTACGGATGATGATTTACGTCTGAAAATACAGATGACAAATGGCACACAGTAAACGACATCATAGGGTGAGAATTGATCGGAATGTCTTCTGCAACTATGTCGACAGTTGACCTGATGGTAACAGAGTAATAAAACTGGCTAGTCACGTACCTTGCCATGTCTGCGAATCGACGACATCAGGCCGTCGGAAAAGCAGTGTTTCATCGCCTGCGTGTGATCAGCAGAGCTGATGTTCTTTAGCGCGTCCATCACACTCATTTGCACCGCACCAAGTGCGTCCAGAACATCAGGGAACGCGATCGACTGGCAAACCATGGCCAACACCGCCTTCACAGACTGAGCCAAACCGGAGATTGCGCAACGCACATCCGCCAGGAGGGTTTGCACACTCTTCTTTGACCGTGGCGCAAAGTGAAAGTGAATCGGGTTTCATATAGGAGAGAAACAGACAAGAATCATTCAACCAACAGACAATCTAAGGTCGAGGAATATCCTAGCTAATGTGCCGTAATCGATTTCAATCATGGGCAAAAATGGTCAAAACAAAACGAAAATAGTGCAATGCTGCATTTTATATTGCGCAGTAACAACGAGATCCAGACTGGAGAGGGACACTAAGCCGGAAAGAACTGGACAAATAAAATCGCAACACAGATGCCGCAGAACGATTACGTGGTCCACAAAGCCTGCCTTCTATTACCTTCTCCGGTAATGCACCACCGCAGTAAGGCGACGAACGGGAATTGAGTTTAGTAATTTTGTCACAACTGGCATTAGGTTCATATCCCGGTGGTTAAGATAGTTGTCGCGACTTCCCTTCTTGTATATCGCTATTATAATCGGTTCACTACAGTAAACCAGGATGGTCTCCTCCTAACATACATGTTCGAACAGGGAGATCAGTGCTTTGCAGAGGACCTCACCTCCATCCTTAAATTGTGCAGGTGAGAGGGAATCCGGGCCAGAAGCACGAAAACGATTGAACGCTCTAATTACGCTTCGGACTTCAGCCTCCGATGGAGCCTCTAAACTAACCGCCAATAGCTCATCCTGCATTACCTGAGTAGGAGGGGGTGCGGAAGCAGAGGGTCAACTGAACTGATCTCGAAAGTGCTCCACCCAATGAGCCATACGGTGCACTTTATTGTCAATCAGTGCACCCGCGCTGTCTCTGATTGTCCCATTTACTGCTAGCTATTAGGTAACAGAGGTGCGGATCAGTTGGAAGAGCTTGCGGTAATTCCCTGCAACTCCCGCTTCCTCCATTTCTTGAGCCCGACTGGCCCATCAGGCTTCCAAGTCAGCGTGTAAGCTCCACTTCAGTTCACGAATAACAGTCCGCCTGGTCACGGTGTGCTCAAAGGCAGTCGGGAGGTTTCTTCTGAAGCATGCTTTAGGCGCTCAAACATAGCTTCGGCACATGGTCTGAAGAGGTTGCCACTTGCCTCTTCTCTACCATCATTAGATCAATGCTAGAGTATGGTTCGCCTGCATACTTTCCGATTACCCGAGACGAGGCACAAAAGATCGGATGGGTCTAACATGTTGCTACCAGATTCATCCAGAGTTTAAGTGGCTTGGGGTATGAAGACCGGTGCGAGAAACTAGGACTCCACATCTTGTCCTACCGTCGGGTGCGAGTCGACTTCATTATGACCTACCGTATTCTACATCTCGGTGACTTCCCCATGCTGAGGCCAAAGCTGCACTTACGAGGACCATGCAGCACAAGCGGACACAGATACAAACTTGTCGTACCGGATGTGAAGCGAGTTTCCCACTCATTGTGCTTCGAACGGAGAGTGGTAAATATTTGGAACAGTATGCCTGAACATGTGATGGAGGAAACATCTGTGCAGCAGGTCAAAACGTTGTTAGATTTATATTTTACCATTAGTCGATTCAGAGAACAAGTGCACACACATGGGATGATATGTCACATTTGTGAGTCCCGCAATACTGTGAGTCAAATATTTTAAATGCTACGAGAACGATAATGATATTTACTTCTGACAATTTTTAAAACGTTTTTCGCCATATTTCGAAAGAGTTGTACAGAATTCATTTCTACTTGCTCTATAATAGAGTATTCAGTATCCCGACTGAGAGGGTCACAAGCATATGCCGCTGAGTCGTGCATGGCAACCGAGGTCCTATTCCACTGAAGCTCAGTGTCCACAGGACAGGGGAGCTAAAATTCGATACACAGTGCATTCGGGCAGGCTTCCCTGACGGACGGCTGAGATAATTTCTCAATTGCCAATAGGTGGAGACGCTTGGTGCGCCTCCGCAAAATTCATGGAAAAGCGAGGAGTGCCAAGACATGAGAGGAGTCGACGCAATTACTGCAGAAGGAGCGGCATTCCAGAATAGAACTATGCCAACTGTAACTTATGAAAATGTGATCTATTTTGGTCCATCGCTGGTCAGCTACAGAAAGACGTTAAGTGGCAGTTCGGAGCTCACTGTGTCCAAAAGCAATGCTACTGAGAAACAGCTGGTGCGCCGTACACAGTTGCAAAAGACACTCGCCGTTGTCCGTACGGTAGAAGTTAAGCCCATAGGTACCACCTAGCTGAGCTTTTGATGAGCCCAGGCAACCTAATTGCACATTCACATCCGCTGCACATCGTAGCAGCGTGTTCAGTACGTGGTAGAATATGTCCTTGACAGCATCAGAACCGCAGTTCGTGGGAACATAAGCGGCAACCACAAGCAAACGCAGTTTTGTACTACCCGGTGAATCAATCTTAGTTGATATCAAACAGGCCGCATACAGCTGACGGTTCACAGAAATCTAACCAACCAAAGACGACTCAGCCTTGAGGCTGAGTACAATAGCTACTCCAGCTTGACCCGTGCGTGTTGCAACAGCGTATCCGGATGCGTGCAACCAACAGGGAGACGACAACCCGGGCACAGTAGATTCAACAACCCCATTAGGGTCATTGATCCTACTTTCGAACACACAACATAAGTCAATACCAAGTGTGTCTAATGTGCGTGCGAGTGCAGCATGTTGACCTAGTTGTCTTAGAGTGTGAACACTGAACGGCGGCAAACAAACGGGACAACGTGGTCTTATAAGAGACTGTTGCCAATAGGCGGCGGGTGGTGTGGGAAAATACATCGTAATGAGGCTGAAGCTTACCGTGGAGCGATGGTTTGTGTGCCTCAGTAATCCATTGAGCTATGCCGGGTGGTGCTTTTTTGGCACATTCAGAGCTACTCATACCAGATTGAGTCAATGGTTAGAGGTCAGACAAACTCAGTCTCCTGGTCCTCCAGGTTGGGGGTTGGAATGAGGTGGCTCCTTATTCCTTAAAACGGACTAATTGTAGTCCAACGCCAAACCCGCTGCCTAGCGATCAGGTTTCTGAACCAAAGGCTTTGGTTGAGAACCCTAATCGTTCTCCTGTCTAGACCTGGACAACCTGACAGTATCCTGCCCACGCAATACAAGGAATCTCTCTTCAAACCATTTCCTGATGTTCCGGCCACCACAGATGATAATCAACGATACCCTATCTGCTGCATCAAGCACGGTGAAAAGGGGTTTGGATGCTACTGCTCAAGCCTTCCAATCATCTTATTCCCTCACTCCACTTTTCATCATTATCGTCCCGTTCCAGCTTCACATTTATCCCCCCAGTTTTCAAGCACCCCGATTCTTGGCTCTCCACCACCCTGCTTCAATAGTCGCTTGTCTTCCAGTTTCAAACTACATGTGAACGCGGAGCGTCAATTATGCCCTGTCAACAGGCCCATGTCCAAGCAAGCGGTCAAGATAAGCTTATTGGCTTCCATTTGGAGCCCTCAATCCTCCTTCAGATTGGCATGCCTCAATGTACGCATATTGCTACAGATCGGTCAACAGGCAGCACTTGCCCAAACATTGGAGATCATCTTGATCGATCTCTGCTGCTTATCGGAGACCCGTCTGCAAGACTCGAGCTCTGTACTCACTTCGCCCTCCCTTCAGGTGACACTAGCAGCACTTTACCGATGTGCCTATCCGGTGACAATGCAGCTTCGAGCACCGGACAAGCCGGTGTTCGATTGCCCTGAGTCCACGGGCTGAAGCTACTCTGGTTGATTGGATTCCAATCAGTAGCCGGTTGTCTGCGGTCCGATTGGCTGGCTCGTGCAAAGCTTCGAAGTCGCGCGGGACTAATAGGTGTCTATTCATCATCGCTGCCTATGCACCCACAAACTCCAGCGATGATTCGGTAAAAAACGACTCCTATCGCCAATCGAACGAGCTCCTTCGCCACAGAAGAAGCTCGGACACTGTTGTGCTGGCTGGGGATCTGAACGCTCAAGCTGGAAAATTATCCACTGATGAGTTGCATCTGGGCGGCTAACATGGTGCAGGCTCCCGTGATGATAACGGTGAGCGGTTACTTCATTTGTGTGAGGATGCTCGCTTATTTTTCGCTACCACTAATTTCCGACACAGCACACGCCGGAAGGTGACTTGGCGAATACCAGCCTGGAACCAGCTATGGACGCAAATCGATCACATTGCGATAACTTACCGATGGAGGGGCTGCGTCGAGAACTGTCGCACAATTTGGAGCACAGGTGTAGACACCGAGCATGCACTTGTATGTGTTGGCTTACGGATTCGCTTTGGCGGACGCCCACGATGACGCTGCGATCGCACTGTAAACAGCCCACTGGCGAAGCCAGCTGTCCTGAATGCCTATCAAATTACGCTATCATGGGGGTTGAGTAAGTGCTCACTGAATGCAAATGAAGCTAACTTGTTTAATATTCACCAGACATTACTAGCAGCAGGCAAATCCTCATGTGGCAAGTCTAATCGCCAACATGAACATTGGGTGTCTTCGCAGTCTCTGGAACTTATCGATACTCGCCGGCATATTCCGGCTCGAAGCGAACACAATGAAATTTGCAAAAGGCACCGGGAAAATCTCCGTGTTAGCCTGAAGAGAGACCGCGAATCCTGGTGGTCGCATCATGCACCAGAAGGAAATGGCCGCTGTCCTTAGTAACCGGCTGATACGGGAAACGGGCAGCAGGAGACCTGGTGTTAATGAAACAATTTGTGATGAGAGTGGACAGCCTATCCACAATTTGACAAAACGTTTGGAAAGTTGTGCTGTGCACTTTTAAAGGCAATTTAATCGGTCGGAGTTGCTAGATTTCTCGCCGGCGACTGATCGCCCCACTCCGTGGGCTGTCACATTGGATCCACCCTCACGCTCAGAAGTCGAACGTGAGATCGAACTGTTGAAGTTAAATAAAGCCGCGGGACCAGATGATCTAGCTCCAGCTCTCTTCAAATTCGGGGGACCTGCACTTGTGGATGGTTTATACGAGTTACTAGTGAAACTGTGGGAGCAGGAAACTATCCCAACCGACTGGAGCCGCGCCGCGAGTCCCAATTTTCAAGGGAGGCTCATGATAAGAATGAGGCAACCATAGAGGAATCAGTTTGATCTCCATCGCATCAAAATTTCTTGCCTCTGTCATCCTTCACAGACCGACTGGCTTTCGTGAAAGCCATATTCGTGAACAGCAAGCCGGGTTTCGTGGAGGTCGTGGCTGCATTGACCACATCTTCACTATGCGTCAGTTATTGGAGCACCGTCAGATATATTGGCGGCCCACCGTTGTCGTGTTCCTCGATATCAAAGGTGCATTCGATTCGGTGGATAGACGTGCACTTTGCGACTGTCGACTCAGGAAAAGTGTACCCGAGAAATATGTAAATATTACCTGAGCACTATACGCGCGTAGCTCGTCAGAGTGAAGGTTTACGGCAAGCTGTCGTCGCCCTATAATATCTACAGCGGTGTGAGACAAGGATGCCCGCTGTCACCTTTCCTTTTTAATTTCGCTACTGACGAGGTTATGGAAATTGCGTTCACAGGACACGACTTAGAAGGTATGGATCTACTCCCGGGAGAACGCCTACTTCCCTTGGAGTATGCTGACGATATTGCCCTAATCTGTGACAGTTCAAAACAATCCAAACCGCACTGGACAGACTAGCCCTGGCTGTCCGTCACTTCGGGCTTTGCTTCACACCTTCGAAGTGCAAAGCGTTCATCCAAGTGGCCTGATCCGCCTCCTATGCTGACCCTTGATGGGGATCAGCTAGAAGTCGTTCAAAAATTCAACTACCTGCGAAGTTGTATCAGTGCCCGTGGGATTGAAGATGAGATCGCGAACTGTATAGCAAAAGCTCGGGGCGCTTTCGCTAACTTTCGCCACTTATGGCGCCGGCGCGACATCACTCTCGCCCTGAAGCGTAGAGTGTACAATGCAGCGGAACGTTCGGCTCTGCTGTACGGTTGTGAAACCTGGCCCGTTAGATCAACGGACATAAAGAGCCTAGTTATATTCGACCACCGGTGCCTTCGTAATTTAGCTCACATCTGGTGGGAACACCGCGTGAGCAACGAGCGTGTTCGACGCCTTGTTTACGGCGCAGGAGAAGGAAACGAACCGCTCAGCACCGTTATTTCACGCACGAGGCTCTGATGGCTCGGCCACGTGTTGCGCATGTCAGGCCACCGACTCCCGCGACGTGCGTTATTTGCGTGCCGGGAGTGTGGATGGAAAAAGAGTAAAGCTGCCAAGCGATGACTTGGTCGAAAGAAATGAAGGACCTCATTTCGAAACTGACCTCAGTTGGAGCGTCTCGGCTCCCTGGTTGGGGTCGGAAAGACAATGAACATGATCGATTGTATACACTTGCTGATATGGCTAGGAGCCGACCTCAGTGGCGTTCGTGTTGTGAGTTTCTTTGTTCCACCCCATCCCTCTTAGACTCTTCTCAGACACCATCTCACAATTTAGCCTTTTATAATTTTGCGAAGCAATTTTTATTTTCTGCATAGTCGCCGGCTGGTAGCTTACCGGAACGATGCCCATCCGTTACCGGTAGCTCAGCTGGCTTGCACCTGTTGCATTTCCCTTTTGTTTCCTTTATATACTGCGGCACAGTAGCTGAGGTGTTTCCCACCTCTAGCTAATGTATATAATGATGATGGTGATGATGAAGATGATAGAGGGTGAGAAGGTGGTTGTGGATGGTTCGACTCCAGTGGCATTATGAATGCTGTCAATTAAGCTGGCAACTATAGGTAGGTTAGTAATGGGGGTTGGGACGGGAGTAAGAAAAACAAGTGGAAAAGAAAGAATGGAGGCTGCAGCGGTAGCATGTTTTCGCTTATCCGCCTTGCTCTGTGTAACAGATAAGGCGACCCCTGATTCAGAAGGTAGTGGAATATTGAGGAAATTGTCATGGTTGTATGTGGACTGAGATACTACCAGAGTCCCAGACATAGAGAGAAGGAGAACCTGAGTCCTCAACCAAAGTCTTAGGCTCAAAAGCCTGTCCGCAAGGCAGCGGGGTGGCAATAATTTAGGTTTACAGAAATGCACGCCATCCCATTTCAAACCCCAAAGCTGGAGGAACAAGAGACTGCGATAGTCTGACCTCTAACCATTGACCAATCTGGTAGGAATAGCTATCAAGGGGCCCGGAGGAAATACACAGTATTGCTCAATGGGTCAAGGAGGTACGCAAACGGTTGTAACACGTTAAGGTCCAATCTCCCAATGATGTACTGAATCCAGCGGACTGGAGAACTCATTCATTCATTCGTATGACTGAGCAGGCAGTGTATATGAGAAAGGATGCAATTCAGTAGTAATCAAGCGCATATCAGCCTTCTCAGCGCCTGTCAAACGCTTAGATGAGTCACAAGCGAAATGCTGTCTATGTGCGAGATCATAGTGGAGGGTATGAAATTATTTTTGACTTCGAATAGTCGCAGTTACGTCATCTATGGAGAGGAATACAAAAAGTAGATAATACCATCACAGAACATTCGAGCAATATACCACACGAGACGAGGAGGTTTGTACACCGAAGTGTGTGCCGTGCTCAGTGAAACAGAAAGGGATGTTGACGCAGTCCCAAACAACATAGGATCAGGATGTGAAGGAAACCAAAAGAAACTTACAGTAGTCTCAGCGTCCGAAATGCAACTTCTAACTTTTTCCATGGCATTTTCGAAGATACTGTGCGTTATAAATATTTCCTCTCTGGAGATGGATGAAAAAACGTTAAATGGTAAGGTTAGGAGATAACGGCGAACCGGCGAACAGCACTCCGCCCAGAATGCACAAAATGTTATAAGTTAACTGGTGGTTGAAGTTTAGAGAGCTGTTATACGGGGAAATCGGAAAGCAATCATGTACACAGATAAGTGATTGCAAACCAGTGGACAGTGAAACGCGGTGTAGCATTTTTATCAAATTTACCATATCGCTCGTTGCCATCTGCTTTTGCCTAACCGCTGACTCGTAAGATCGTGTTAGTGGGTTTCATACGAGGCAGATGGAATACGCGTCGCTGACAAGTTCGGTGTTCCTGCCTGGTCTGATGGCCTAGTGATGAGTCCAACATAGGGCGATGAGGCGGTCAGCAACAAGATTAATCCTCCTTCAAAGCGGGAGGTGACGCAACACAGGGGGATCATCAGTGGAGCGAAACAGAACTTAGAATGCAATGTGTCAAATTCGGATTGCAAATCGTCGAATGCGCTATGTAAAACGTCTAAAGTGGGAGGGTTGTTTTGTTCTCCGAGCTGAGCAATCTCGTTGCCAAGGTAGGCGACATCCAAAGGTGCAGCTATCAAGGTCTGATTCGCAGATATTCACAATAACGTCTAAAGTGGTTTTCAAAGCGTCCGATGTGTTTTACAAAATGTCTAATGTGCTTTGCAAAATCCCCAATTGTTTTGCAAAACGTCCGATGTAGTTTGGAAAAGGTCCAATTCAAAGCGAAAATGGTATATCCCTTTAGCATGCGAAAAATGAACATATGCTCATTCAAATAGGTTCGTCAGTATCATCACCAGGAATTACAACGACTTTCCCCTCCGATGAACCGTACAGCAATGGTACTATGAAATGAGTTGAGCGCTTGCATTTTCGTTTCTTCCCAGATTATGTCAATGGATGGTGAAAGTCACTCTATCAAAATGCAATGCTACGGAGTTAAAACATAAATTCAAATGGAGGTACAGTGACACCAGGATGTGAGGCCCTATGTGAGGAAATAAAAACGCGAGAGCGAGATAAATGATTCACTATATATATATATATATATATATATATATATATATATATATATATATATATCGGATTCGGAACCAAAGTATGGAGGCTGCGGTAATAATAAAAGTAAACTTGCTGAAACCACAACCTAAAAGGTCGAGCAATCTTATCCCCTGAATGGCCTTATTTAACATAAAAATGGGTGAAGTGATCCAGGGGAAAGTTGAAATGTGCCACCCATTGCGACCCAAGGAATCACGAAAGCCCGCGAACCGACCTGTCATAGATCTGTAGAGAACGGCTGTAGAAGTTAAGAATAAATAGCGGTCACTGAGTAACAAATGGTAACTAGGTGCCTGTATCACCTCCCTGACAGCTGCATCAAGGAAGTGAGATTACTGAGTGTGTTGTTGCGGCTCGTGTGCCTTTTAAAGCCTCAGTGATCGAAGGAGACAGAAATCTGCAAACTTATTGGTTAAAGAAAGTGTTCAGAACGCTGCGAAGTGAACAGTGTTACTCAACTGTTCAAAGACCTGACCGCTACTGACCGTGTTTGACCATTAATGCATGCGAACCATTGTTCATGTCTGGTGGCAGTGCAGAGTAACATGGAAATTCGTCAGCTGGTGTTAGTCAGCAAATCCTCCGTCAGTGAGTCACTAGGGTGTCGGCTGAACTACACTCGCATCCGTCGGCTCGCTTACATGATACGCAAGCTTGAAAGCCGGCTACAAATGCCTCTGGTTGACTGAAACCGCATGGCAAAGGAGTATGAAGATACATACCGAGGAGGTGACTCAAGTTGGCGCTTGTCGTGTTTCCGGAAGCGACCATCAAAATCTACCACGCCAGTGGCTGGATACCTTAACGAACATGGTGCATTCACGGTGCTGGTGGCAGTTGATCCCTCGTTTTTAACGTTGGACGAATACAATTACTGCCGAAGGAGATTCCGCACCATCACACCGAATATGATAAACACTACACATCCATGTTTTGAACATGGACTGCCCAAACGACCAATAAGGATGAATATATAAATCTGTATGTTTACCGACAAACGGTACACGGCCCCATAAGCGGAAGCGATCATTTGTATAGTGAGTAGGTTTCGTGGTTTATCCGGCTTAAATTCTAATAATAAAGGAAATGTAAATAACAGAATTTCGGATCATGATACTTTCTCTCCTCGGGTCCTAGACCAGAGCAGTTAATAAGCAAAATTTACCGATATGTGTATCATGATTTTCTAGTTTGTGGGGCTCAGGAGTAGAAAATAAAAGGGAAGAGATACAAGGCCGCACAGACACGGGATTTGGTATTGGAGGTAATGACATGTAGTGGATAAGCGAGTTGTAAGTGAATATTGCTCATATGATTTTCATACCAGCTTCTGTTAATGTTTCTAGAGTTTTCTGTGAGTCAAAGATTGTCAACACATTTGATATAGTGAGGAACGTCTGTACGGCATTTCGAAGTGTGACATGGCCTGCACTCATGCGTACCTGTATGGGTAGTATGTTCCATATACCGGTGTATCTCACTAAGAAGAAATTCGATCAAGTTTTATGACTTGCAAACTTTGTGCGTAGCAAGTAACTGCCATTAGGTGTGGGGTAGACTGCAGTCTTCCGGAGTTCAAGTGCGGTGCTGTCTGCGTAAATTCGTCGGTTTATAATGTTGTAGAAGAGAATGAGGCTGTTCTTTAAACGTCTCAGCCAAAGAGGATACAGTTGTAGTTTTCGACAGCGATCATAATAACTCAGGTTTCAGCAGCACCCCATGGCCAGCTTGGCAAATGATCGTTGGACATTTTCCAGAGCCGTTCTGTCCTTCTTTCTCAATTGGCTGTGAACGATAGTACAGTATTCCAGAGTCGGATGTGCTAATGTCTTGAATGACTCAAATCGGGCTTCAAGTAGGGAGAAAGTGCTGGTGGTATATTCGCATAGATGCCTTGCTTTGACAACCTGATAAAGCACATGTTCGGAGAAATTGAAAGAGTTTGAGTACCTAATTCCTAAGTCCCGAACTGAATCAGATGTTGGGATCACGTTTCCGGCAAGTGTGATAGAGCCTTCTGGGATGCGGCATCTGTACCCAAGTACTTAGGATGATCTAAAAATATGTACACGCGCGACTAGCGGGTTTACATGTACTAAAGCCTCACTCTACCAACGCAGTGATGATGCCACATCGATTGGTGAAGAAACGTACACTGTAAAATTGTCAATGTCAGCGAAAAGTTCGTCTGATAAAAACTAACTTGCTCCCCGCGGGAGGGCAGTCTCTTGTTACATCGAAACCAAATCAGTTGATAAGGTAAACAGTTTTTCATTAAGGATCTATTCAAAGGAACAGACCTCGACAGGCAGATGGTGTGTGGTCATGGGGAGTCCACGGCGATGTTGGAGTAACGCAACGAGCTAGACTTCGATCAAATGTGCTTCTATAGTAGAGTTACGTCGACGACACCCTTAGAGGCTGCGCATTCCATCCTCAAAGTTATGAACGTTGCACACCCAAAAGCTCGTTTTACCTGTGAATTAGAGGACGGTAGCCAGATGTCCTTTTTGAATGTACTATTGACCACAGGAGAGGATAGCACAATAAAGTGCACCATCTACTGAAAAGCTACGTGGAGCAGTTTGTATCCGCACTTTAAAATTTCTATACCGGTTCGATAGAGATGCTGCTTTGTCAATACGTTATTCCACCGGGCCCGCAGAATGCGCACTGGAACTGAATTGCAATTTATCACGTCAAAAAAATCGGCAGTGCGCCTTATGTATGAATGGTTGTGCTGAGGCCTAGTGACCTCGAATCAATTTCTATGTTCACACTGCGCTGAAAAATCTGTCAAAATGTTTTATTACGACTTTGATTGTCGAAGCATAATCGCTGGTCAGGAACCTCGTGGAGTCAGCTTTCTATGTTGTCTAGACAGACTTGTTTTGGGGGTGGCGAACTCTGTGCAGGAGCCAACTGATTCGAGCTTTTCTGGCGACGATAAACCAACCAACTATTCAACCATCCACGCTGATATCCCATACTGTGATATATGTGATGGTTACTCCACCCGGCAAACTCACTTGGTCCAACAATGCACCTTGCAAACACTGTCCAAAACACGCACCTGTATCTCGCTGGTTGCAGGTGAGTGTTTGAACACACGATCTGCGCTCACACCAGTGTTCCAAAGACGTGCGGTCATCCAGACAGTCGGCGACGCCCGTGTGAGCTTCACTCACATCATCGTCCAAACTGAGGTTTTCGGATAGACAACTGGAACATACGTCGTCGTGCGTGTACTACGGAGGGAGTAACAGTGCACTTACGGAGAAATGCGTGATAACATACAATCTGGTCAACATATGAGGTCAAGCACGATAACATTTTTCAGCGCCAGTCGCATGCTGGCGATCAAGACGAAGCTTGTTCGCTTACCCCTACCACTTTTCTGATACGTACTGTGCTTCAACATACCGGTAATTAAGGACCCCAAAATGACACCTGTTAAGAGACATGCTTACGAAGCGGATTTCAAACTCAAGGCCATCAGCCACGCAGTACAACATGGGAATAGAGCAGCTGCGAAACAATTCAACATTAATGAATCAATGGTACGGAAGTGGAAGAAGCAAGATGACCTGCACCAAGAAGAGTTTCCGAGGGAACAAAGCAAGATGGCCACAGTTAGAGGACAAAATTGAGCAGTGGATTACTGAACATAGAACAGCAGGTAGAAGCGTCTCTACAGTCTCCATTCGATTCAAGGCAATAGCGATGGCACGTGATATGAAGATGAACGACTTTCAAGGAGGTCCTTCTTGGTGCTTCCGTTTTATGAAAAGGCGTCATCTCTCCATCCGCACAAGAACTACCACCTCGCAGCAACTGCCAAAGGATTACGAAGAAAAGTTGGCCATCTTCCGCACTTACTGCAAGAACAAGATCACCGAAAAGAAGATCCAGCCAGACCA